TCACCACTCCTCGCTTCATCTCACCTCATCTTCCTCTCCTCTCCTCTCCTCTCCTCTCCTCTCCTCTCCTCTCCTCTCCTCTCCTCTCCTCTCCTCTCCTCTCCTCTCCTCTCCTCGCCTCTTCTCTCCTCTCCACTCCCTTCTATCCTAATTGGCTTCCCAGCATCTTGCCGCAGGGGAGGCCAGCGGTCGCCTGCAGCTGGTCACGTCAGGGCAGCTGAAACTCGCGGGGAGGTGTCGGGGGCACACGAGCGAAGTGACGCTGCTAGAGTTCGTGCAGGCAGACGACCTCTCCTGCCTCCTCTCAGCAGACGCGCTGGGGCACATCATCTTGTGGTCTCTGCCCTGGACATCTCCACGAGTCGTCTGCGTCCTTTCCTGCATCGTCCACCCGCTCCTCCTCGTTGAAAGATCCTCTTCCTCCTCCTCTCCCCCCCTCGTCAAGCCCCAGCGAGATACTCCCTGCTCAGCGTGCTTCAACGCTGCTAAGAAGATGCTGTGGGTGGGCACGAGCTCCGGCCTCGTCCTCTCCTACAACTTGAAGCCCCTGCGAAAGGTCGAGCGCGACTGGTTCTACGACCAGCATGCCGTGTCTCCCCGTGCCTCCTCCCCCTTCTCTCCCACCGCCTCCTCTCCTCGCAGGGCGAGCATGCTCAGCGGGACCAGCAGCCCGCGCATGCCGCTGGCAGAGAAGTTTGTGGTGAGGAGCCAGACAAGCAGAATCCTCCCGATCGACCCGAAGGTGAAGGAGGCGATGAAGGAGGCGATAGCGACGATGGTGGAGACGAAAGAAGCTCCTACCTCTCCCCTCCGATCCCCGCTGCGATCCCCGACCTCGCCCAGGTGAGCAGGAGCTGCTGGAGGCAGAGGATCTGAGAGGAGGAGCAGGCTTCGATTTCTCTCCAAGGAAGGGTTGCGATGGGGTCAAGCTCGATCCCCTCAACGACGTGAATCGACTGCCTTGAAACAACTTGTTGTGCTGACGTCACTGCAGACTCGCCCATCGACGACATCGACTTCGCCGTCTTGCATCGAAATGTATTCCTACCTCTTTCCTTCTTTCCTCTCCTCTCACCCCCCGTTTGCCTTCTCCCATCTCTCACGTCTGTGTTTAGTTGCCGTATCCTCAAGATCTCTCACTGACCATTCGTGAAGATTCTGCCGCTGAAAAGCTTCGGTCGGTCTCCCCTTCTACTACTACCCCTGCCCCTCCTGCCCCTGCCCCTACCCCAGCTGCTCCTCCTGCCCCTGCTCCTGCCCTTGTTCTCTTCGTTCGGCTTGTTCTTTGCTGTCAGTCAGTCGCTCACGGTCTTCTCAGACCTTCGCTCGAGCCCATCTTTGATGCCAACTGCGTGAAGCCCATGCACTGCTGGAGGGCGCACAAGGAGGCTGTGAGGAGCATACAGCTCGCGCCCTCTGCTACTGCAGGGTCCTCAACTTGTTCTACTCATCCCTCCTCTCACGCCTTCTCCTCCTCTCAGCCCGGCGCTGCCCCCGGCGCTTCACCTGCGACCTCGAAGGAGGCGCGGGAAACTGAGCTCGGACATGCTGCTGGACGAGCAGAGCATCGAAGTCCCCGAGACCGTCTCCTCCTACGCGCTGCTGTCGTGCAGCACAAGACAGGCGAGCGTTTCCTCTGTCGCGACAGGCAGAGACGTGACGCTTGCTGCGAAGGTTTGTGCCTGGGATGAAGGAGGAGAGATGCTTGGCAAGGTACCTCTGCTTCGTCAGCTTCAACATCTCAAGTCCCGCAGCTCGTGCAGGCCAACCAGGAGGAGGACGCGGAGCAGGAGGACCCGTGAAGCTTGCACGGGAGGCTGTTTGCGCAAACCATGTATATCACGACAAGTACATTTACATTCCATGGGATCGAGCGAGAGAGAGAGCAAGAAACGGCAGAGGCCTCCTGTGATCAGATTCCCATGCCGTAGACTGTCGTCAGGCACACGAGCGTCGGGTTGTCGAAGCGATACTTAGCGAATCCATCAGTCTCTGCATCCCAGAAGCAAGTGTGTGCGGTATGCGTAGCTCCTCCGGTGTTCTGAGAGATCATCGAGGTGACTGAGAACGAGGCCAGTCAGAGACATCAAACAGCTCCCGATTCCCTGACTCACCGACAAACTTGAAAGGTTTGTTGAGAGTGGCTAGACGCTTGAGGATGCTTTCTACTATCATCGATTGCCACTGTGGGACTTTAGCATGCAGGTAGGAGGCGTTGGTCAAGACAGCATCAACAGACTGCAAGCCAACACCATCAGCAGAAAGTGACATTGCGCATCATGACTGACCTCCTTGACAACTTGATAAACCTCATCCTGGTTGAATGTTCTCTGTTCACGCTCTATCAGCATCCAATCTTCAACCAAACCTCCTCAACTCACATCGCCTTCACCCTCGAAATCCATTCTCAACGCAAATGAACAATCTGATTCAGAAAGCTCCTGTCAAAACCTTCATCAGTCGCGAGTCAAGCATCCTACAGCTCCTTGTCTGATTTGCTTGCTGTCGGGTGACCTCCTACCTCGCGCTAAGTCACTGTCCTCGGACCTCATCGTACTCGCTCGATGTAAGACACATTCTCTGAATCCAGCAAGTTCAAGTTGCGTCCACCACCATTGCGTTCAAGGCCCTCCTCTTCCCACTACCAACTCCTCCCATCGCTCAATTCTGCATCTCCAACATGATTTCATGTCCCTGCCAGCGCATTCCACTGCTCCTCATGCGCCAGATCTCCACGAAACTATCCTCGTGCTGAAGCTTTTCCATGTCAAGCAACGATCGATCCTGTCAGCTGCTGCATTCATCCCTGTCTGCAATGCCTTTCGATATTCAGCACAGGCCATATTGCGGTCCAGTGTATTCTACTCACAGTCGCACCATGATCCTTGATACCCATGTCGCACACTCCAGGCAACTCACCTCTCATCTCGCTTTACCTCCTTACATTTTCCGCAAACATCTTTTCAAGTTTCAGCTTGCTGCTTTCCTTGCATCGATCCCCTCATCGTTTGAATCTGAGAATCTCTCTTTCCTCCTGTCTCTCTCTTCCCTTCCCTTCCCTTCCCTTCCCTTCCCTTCCCTTCCCTTCCCTCTTCTGCATTCTGGGACGGTTGGAAAGCGGAAAGCGCGGGAAGGGAAGCAGCCTGATGAGGGGGTAGGGGTGAAAAATTCCTCAGGTAGGTAGGGGTAGTTTACATATGAATGAAGGGTGGGGTACATTGATCGTTGACATACCGTGGGTAGTAACGAATAGAAATGGGTAGGGTACGGTGAGGGCTTTTGGAGGGTAAGGGTAGTGATGTAGAGGGGACTATGAGGACGGGGTGATTTTACCACGATCCAGGGGGTAGAGGCGATGAGGGTGGTATTCTATTTGGAGTTGTTGGGGGATGAGGGTCCATCACTTGGCAGTTTTGACGACTGGGGCAAGTTCGGTCAATGGCGATCTGGCAGCGGCCGAGGAGGAGGAGGAGGAGGAGGAGGAGGAGAGCAGGAGGAGATGATGGAGAGAACGGTAGAGGGAGACTTGAGATGAGGTCTTCCTCCCACTTCATATGAAGCTCTTCAGCCAGAATGGGTAGAGCAGCAGCGAGAGTGGCAGTGGAGCGGATTGCGACTCACGATGAGTCATCCGAGCAAACTGGCAAGCGGCGGGTCCGGGTGAAGTGGTTGGGCAAGGCAGGGTGGTGAGAAGTCAGAGAAGAAGGGACATAGATCACGCTGATAGTACTTGACTGATTTGCAATCAAGAACACCTGGATCTGATCCGTTAGTACAATGCTGTACTTGACTGATGAAGCGGCAATCTGCCCGAGATCACAGTAATTGCCGGTCTAACTCTTGTATGCAGGCGTCTGCCATCTACCTCGTAAGCATGGCAAGCATGACGAAGGAGATCGAGAGGCTGCGGCACAAGTTCAGCCTGCCGGGTTCTTCTGACAGCACGTTGGGCTTAGTTGTGAATGGAACGATCGTGACTGGGGTGATACCCGGAGGACCGACGGACATGCAGGAGCAAGAGAGGATTGAAGCACACGATGAGATCATCAGTGTGGATGGAGAGGTCACCAACGAGAACAACATCCTATCCCTCCTGAGAGGCTCCAACCTCATTGGCTCCCAAGTTCAGCTTCGTGTGAAGAAGAACCTAGACGGCAGGGTCATCACGATGGACGTGAAGAGAGATTACAAGTGGTGGGTTGAGAGCATGCGCGATGTTGCTGCGCTAGTGGGACAACTTGCGGAGCAGGCAGAGATCGATGGCTCGCCGCAACAGCTCGAGTTTGCCCTGCGGATCAACAACGAGCTGAGAAGATTGTCGTCGGCGAGCTCGAAGTCTCAGGGTCTCCTCCGATCTCACATCCAGGAGCTCGAGAAGCTGCTGCTTTCGACTGGCAAGGACGATCGTCCTGACGTCAAACGTCCTAGCGAAGCCGCAAACACCGCAGAAAGACAAGAGCAGGATCGAAGGCTGCAAGATGCGACTCGTGAGATCGCTTCCGCACGCGAGCAGACGAGGAGAAGCCTGGACCATTTCCTAGGGCGCATGGTAAGTCGAATGAGCTGCTTGCGGTGTGCTTGACCTCTGCTCGTTGACAGAAGGACCTCTCGGTCAAGCCTCCCTCTCCCTTCAACCCTAGCGGAAACGTGCTATCCGACCTCGACGGACTCAAAGCAGCCTTCGACAGCCTCGCGACAGAGTTGGAGGAGAGGACGAGGACGTATGAAGCAGAGGTCTCGAAGCTGCAAGAGGAGAAGTCAAGGCTGCTCAACGTGGAGTCGGAGATCATGGACGAGCTGGCCAAGGGGTGCGAGAGGATCTTCCGCATGGAGGCGGAGGTGACGGCGATCGAAGCGACGAGGCGGAAGCAGGAGAAGCTGTGCGAGAACATGTCGCAGAAGCTCAAGGAAGCAGAGATCAGCGAGCAGCTGGCAAGAGATGAGGCTACGAAGCTCGCCTCGGAGCTTGAGTACCTTGAAGAACAGAACTCGCAGCAGACTAGAGCGATTCGTTCAATGGAGGAGCACACGCGAGACATGGAGAAATCACTCCGCTCGCACGAGAGGCAGCTGAGCTTGCTCTCAGACTCGCAGAAGAATGCTGCACAAGCAGCTATGGAGCTGCAGGAGAGCAGGAAGGTCGTTGCGAGCCTGGAGAGGGAGCTGCGTGAAGTCTCCTTGATGCTGGAGCAAGAGCGGCAAAACTCCATGGCTGTCACCAGGGACCATGAGAAGCTGCAGCAAGAGCTCAACACGCTCCGCAGGAACCAGACTGTAAAGCAGTCGCAGGAGGGAGACCTGCAGAAAGATCTCCTCCGACTCAAAAAGGAGAACTCGGAGCTCAAGAGCAGGAGCGAGCAGCTGCAGTCTCGCCACGAGGAGCATCAGAGGAAGTACCTCATGTGCTTGCAAGAACGCGACGCACACGCCGAGACCATCAACAAGCTGACGGCTCACTTCATCGTCAAGAACGACAACCCAGACCAGCTGCGACTCGGCAGCAGGCACCTCACGACAGCACATAAAACGATCGGCCACATCCCTCCCGGCTACCTCGAGCCCCAGGCTGACGTCAGCTGCCGCGATTGCGAGCAGTACCGCAAGACTCGTTCAGTCGGCTTCCACGATGGCCACAAGCTCGAGAACGGCAGGACGACCTCCTCCCACTCGCAGGTGGACTGGAGCCACCGGCTGGAGGGCAATGGGATAGCAAGCGCTCGCTCCATGGTGCCCCCGGAGACAGACAGGTCCTCGTGGGACGGCGGGATGCTCTCCAAGGATTCTGCTCGCGACTGGTTCGGCCCTGCGCTTGCAGAGGACGCTCATCCCCTGAGGAGCGTGCTCCAAGAGCTCTCGTCCTACAGCAACCCGGTGGACTATGAGAGCAGCGGGAAGGACATGCAGATGTTGGAGCAGGAGCAAGGGATGGGCGGGCAGTGGTACCAGCAAGCGACGAGCACGACAAGGGAGGAGGTTGAATCTCTGCGGCAAGCGAACTCAGAGCTTCAAGAGAACCTCCGTAGAGCCAGCAAGACTGCGGCAGATGCGGTCCGCAGCAGAGACGACATGCTGGCAAGAACTACAAAGGACATGGAAATGCTGAAGCGAAAGCTTGAGGAGCAGGAGGAGCTGTCAGGCACGCTTGAGCGGCAGCTCCGAGCTGAGAGGATGGACATGCAGGTGGTCGTGCAGGAGAATGAGACCCTGAAGAGGAGCTCGCTAGTGGCACAGGTGACCTGACGCTTCTCGTTTGGGAGCTCTTGACATGAAGACCAGGAGGATGCGATCAAGCAGCTGCAGAAGCATCACCTGCGGAACATGGACCTGCTCCATGCCCTCGCATGCGTCTCGCAACACTACAAAGATCGCACAGGCAACACGCAGATCTGAGGGATGTCAGAGCGAAGGTTATCTTTGATTCCTTCATTGACAGCATGTGGCGGATGTTTGCTTGTGGGAGAAGATCTCTACATGTCCATCCCGTTGTTCTTCCCCTGTCTTGATTTCATCATCGCCTCACCGATCATCTTCCTCGTGTTGTCATCGCCCTCCTCGTACATGTCCTGCATCAGCTCCATGATGCTGTTCATCGGATCTCGCTGCTTCTCCCGGTCGCGTCGCTTCTTGCTGCACAGCTCGTTCCACGTCTCGTAGGAGTACTCTCCCTTCACCTTCTTCAGCGTCAGCTCGATCCTGTTCTTCTTCACCTTGAACGAGCTCTCGTCAGGCACGATGTCCTTGTACAAGTTGGTGATGTGCCGCCTGTAGTTCACACCGTTGATATCTAACACCTTCACGTCCACCCGATCCACGAAGAACTCGCACTGGACCTTGTCCTTGAATTCCCCCACGTTCTTCAGCTCCAGGTAGACAGTTACGGTGGGTGAGTTGTACTCGTCAGTCAGGAACATGAGGCTCTCAAAGTCCTTGTACGCCGTCGTCACGCCACTCGACGTGGGAGCGTTAGGGAGCTTCTGGGGTGGAGGGCCCGAGGCCTTTGCAGGAGCCGCCGGATGCTCAGCGCTGTTGGAGTCTGTCGTTGTCGACAAGCCGTTGGTCTGCTGGCTGACAGCTGGGGTGAGAGGCTGCGACTTGGCCTGAGCTTGCTGCTGATCCTTGAGATGTTTGATTTCTTGCTCGTGCGCGGTCTTCATACTGGCAGCCTGTTGATTCCAGGCCGACGCGAGCTCCTCCATGCTCTTCAGGTGCGTTTGCAACATGTTGGAGATTCTTGGACGCTTGGAGGACCTCAACAGAGTCTTGAGCTCCTGGATGTCCTCTTCAATCTCCTTGATGGATGACATCTGCGAGGGAACATCAGTGAGGGTCCATGCGTCAAACCGTAACCAGCTATGGCATGATCTAATCACTGTTATACACCTCAACTCCTATGACTGACTTGCGGTCCATTGCCCCCTCACAATCTTCCTTTCCCTTCTTGATTTTTTGCTTGCCTTTCTCTTATCCATATTTTCCGTGTTCCCTATTTTCTCTGGTTTA